AGCCTTTAAGCCTCGTCGTTAACCCTACAGTCAACATAATTACTGYTATTACCGTCATCATGATCTTAGTCACATCCTCATCATCAAAATTGTTTCCATTCCTCGGCTGTGTTGRWACAATGTGAGCCACAGACTTGCATTGTCGCTATKCATGTCAGTGTTGGGACCCCTGTGCTACTTCATCACCTATAAGTCCTATAAGGGCCTATAAGAAACAAAAAGCATTATTTCAAACATAGCATTTATGAAGAAAGTAGAGTGGGCGCACTATAAATCCGTGAAACAAATATTGTTATGTTGAATCAGAAAACAAAATAATTAGCACAWTTTAGTACTATTTTGTACTAAAGTCAGTTCACGGAATGAGTGCATCACCGGCTTGGCTAAATATCACTGGAAACAGGTTTTACGTTGCAGAGAAAATTAGGTTGAAAATTATTCTAATTTGATGACATCCAATAATCATTTTATTAGAATAAAGTGTGTGAACTAAGGATTGATTGATTGATTTGATTGATGTGCTATATCAACTTTAATCTAAATGTCTTTTTAGAAAATTAAACTGTTTTGTACCAATTAAAATATTTTTCTCGAGAAATMTAAGTTGAAATCAAGACAGAACAAACATGACAGTCCCTATCAATACTGATGATGGAATAATCAACGAGCTGCCTGAGGAAGGTGTTCATTAATATTTAACACATAAAAATCAAGAAATGTTGTCTGGTGATAATCCTTGAGCACACCATGCGATATCATAATTGTTTTTCTAACCTAGTTTTCTCTGAAATTTGAAGCCTGAATCCATCCAGTGACACGTAGACACGTTATTTTTTTCTTATGTTTAAAATAAAAGATTTCATTTTGCGCTTTAAGAGGTCGCCATGGTGAACATGTCACATGTCATCTTGAGTAAATACAATCTGTGGATTCTTTAAACACGAACAGCAAGCATTCCTACAGCTTTATTAGCATACTCGTAACTCTTCTTTGGTCCTGGAGCCATATATCCTTTGACAGAGGGTATTTGAAACCCTACACGTTTAGAGGTCAACCTCCAACCATTCCCGCCCTAGGCACCGGTCGACACAGTTATCTGACTCGTGCAGTACGCTCGACACCAAAAGAAAACAACCGCATCAAGGATTCTCGTATAACTTGTTGCTTCTTCGACATGGTTATTTTGGACGAGAAATCTAAAAGTTTATCGTGGGTAGACTGGGTTATAATCGCTGGCTATTTTGTGCTGTGTTTAGGCGTTGGATTGGTTGTAAGTAGTCTACGATATAAAACCACACTAGTAAATCCATAAAAAAATACTACGTAAACTGTATCATGTGTTTGAGGTGACTACCTTGAAATAGAGTTTTGATCGCCCATAAGCGTTTGTAGCACAAGTTATGGGTATTTGAATGCACAGCGGTGGTTTATGCCCATACTTTGTAGAAAAATCCCGAATCACGGCACTCGACAAGAACAAGTTTTATTTGATYCGGTGAGGTCCTCTGCGTGAGCTYTATGACATACTAACGTTTCAGCTAATGAAAACGTTTTAGTTACACATCAACTACAGATTTTAATTGTTCATCCACGGCCTTTGCATTGGTGAACTGAGAAAAAAATAACTGTTTTTCGCTGATTTCTGCATTAGTTTTTGTCAAGGGATAAACAAACTTAAATTGTCCACGAGTCTTATCTAATGTTATCTTGGTAAGTAGTGGTTCGGCGAAAGACGCGGTGTCATTGCTTCAACTATGAAGCACAGTTTTTAATGTCCATATATCTTTAATTATGTTAGTCCAAGTTCAGAAAACAAAGAGGAAAGGATGAGACTGCAGAAGGATACTTTTTGGCTGGAAGAACGATGCTCTTCTGGGCGGTGAGTTTTWAACGCTGCACTATAAATACGGAGCGGCTACAGAYTGCGTCAGTGATCTCACGGGACAAATCTATTCTTCTCGTATACGGCGACGACGCTTATTTTGCAGCTACAAAATGAATTGTCTCCCCTTTYGATACAACTGCATTACAATGAACTTCAAGYATGGTCATTTTGGGGGTGTTTTCAGGGAGGTAATGAAGGCGTGATTAGCAACAAACCGATTCAAGGGTTATCGACGCCATCTTGTAAGGGAGCGAGTGCGCCGCRAACTATACTTCCTCATATCGCGTTTACTTTGCTTTCCAGCTTCAGTTTTACAATTAAAATCAAATTGCTGTCGTCTTTTCTGGTTATAAATTRATATGTATGTTCAATCAAGCCCGTGGAAACATTTGAAAACGGAAAATGTGTTCGAGTTTTGCGACAACATCGGACGCGAAAAACGGCAAGAATGTACCCTTCGAACAATATTCAAACATGTAGCTTGGGCATTTACTGCAACCATTTCAACCGAGCGAAATTTCTCTTGATTCCTGACAGAGTGAAATGCGAAGTACAATAGATCTAAAACGAGGAAAAACTAGAWGTTTTAAATTTGAGATTGACCGGAAATATTAGCCATGACTCAATGACTTCATTGCCAAAAATTGTACAATGCTGCACGTCTAAGCCAAAAATTCTATTTAGCACCATGTAAACTATATACGATGAAGAGAGCAAGACGCAAAGACACTAGTGTTTGTTTTTACTCGTGTATCCACAAAACTATGGACTATCYCTAACACATATCAAGCATTCTGATTGGCCACTGAACCATTGTCTATTCATGACAGACTATGGTCGCATCGAGTTAAGCGAAAAAATGTCGAGAAAAGTTTTTGATCATCTTTTTTCGAATTTTTCACATTGTTCGGAAGATYCTAAAAAACAATTAGATCTCGTGGTCTCGTCAACTACGAGTTTATACAGTCCACTCGACCTCGTGCTCTGATTGTGAAATCCATCCCCAACTCTGGTAAAATTGTATCGTGTTGCTTGGGTGCAAATTGCAAATATCCAAGCTACACCAAGTAAATCTCTCAGTATCCAATTCAGTATTTGAAGTCTTTGTGTTGTTTGTATATGGACTTAAATTTACAACTTCCGCAGTTGARATTAATGCYAATAAAATGGCACGACAAATATATCCGCTAGCCCCCGCGTGTATCCTAATATCTCTTCAGCTGGTCTTTTAGACTTTACTATATATAACTTTGTATAATCATGAAAGAAAATATAATAATTCAAATAAAACAGCAAAAACTTTAACACATACAACATAACAACGTTCGTATTGTGTAAAGAATTCGTATGACATGTTTCCATGGCTTGTTTGGACATCGATATGAATTGTTTCCATCGGAGATGATAGTAATCTGAATAAAGACAATGTAAGTTTAGCGCGCGCTGGCCGTAATACTTCGGCACCCTTTACAATACCAGACTCCGACTCTTATCTTGGCTAGAACTATTCCGTATGGTAGTGCGGYTGCGTGACTATACAATATTTACCTTTCTAGGTTGGGCCCAGTCTTTTCGCAAGTAACATGGGAAGTGAACACTTCATTGGCCTAGCGGGATCTGGTGCTGCTACTGGGATTGCAGTCGTTTCGTATGAATGGCAGGTAAGATCGATCGGTAATGGATTTGCGCTTTACTYGTGGGCTTCCTGTGCCATACCTCTAAATCAGAAACTTTTCTTCATTTGCAGGCAGTATGGGTATTGTTATTGCTTGGCTGGGTCTTTGTTCCTATTTATTTGCGATCAAGGGTAAGCAAAATATTAAACTCTTAGATGGTTTCATGAAAAACACATGAAACAAATAACAACTTTTGTATGTTTATCAGGTGTTCACGATGCCCGAGTACCTCAARAAGCGATTTCAAAGTCCATATGTGAGAACGTACCTCACGATAGCTGCTCTACTCTCGTACGTCTTCACCAAAACATCGGTAAACGCCTTMATAATTCCGTGAAGTCCCTAGATTCGCTACAATTATATTCCCATTTAGTTACTTAACTTGTATACTCCAATGACAAAACAAAAGCAAGAGTAAAGTAAGAAAAAAAAAGAAACGAATTAGAAAGAAAAATAAAAACACAAGTCGACAAGAAAAATAGCTGATAACTGGCGTTAACTGTAGTTTCACGGTTTATTAGGTGGATATTTATGCAGGAAGTCTTTTTCTGTACGAGGCAGTGGGATGGAATATCTATATTTCAGCTGCAGTCGTTCTCGCCATCACAGCTCTGTATACTTTACTTGGTATGTGATTTTATTTCATATTCATGATAGCATAATTGACGTGTGACGATCACAATGGTAAAGATGATTTACACAAGTCACGTGATCACGTCCTTCATAAACAGAGGAACGAGGTTGGATGAGGACACTAGGGCCTGGTTGTTCAAAGCCCGATTACCTTTAATCCAAGGTCAATACTCCAGTTTCCAATTCTCTTTTGTGCAAGCTTAGCTTCAATCAAGTATAAATTGTTTATTGTCTTCTTTGTACACAGAGTATTTGCATTACAATAGATTCTCTGCTAAATAAAAGAATATATCACATGCTTTCGAGGTTAAGACTGCAATAATAAGATCTTGAAACTGGAGTATTCTAAGGCTTTTAAAAAGCGATAAAGGTTAAACAAGCTATGAACACCGGCCGGTCCTGGTGTATGTGGAAAAACGCAACAGACGCGATTGGATAGTTGATATACGATAGTGGACAAAGTGTTGATGGTTTTCATAAAAACTTCAATGTAACCTTTGAGGTCTTCTTCCCGTATGCAATTACGAAAAGAGTAAATCAAATATTATTACTGACAACATAATCAATCAATCTGAGTGGGTTGTTGCGTTGTCTTGTAGGTGGACTAATGGCTGTAATCTTTACTGACGTCCTGCAGTGTGCTATCATGATCATTGGTGCTATTGTGTTAGCTYTTATGAGTAAGTATCCCCTCGACACTCCTTCTTTTTCAATGAGCTATTTTGAGCAGTGAATGTGTCCATCCTACRGGCACTGCGCTAGGTTTTTACCCTTATGTTCTTAAAGACGTTTCTTGAATATTATACATTACATACATGTGAGTGGTACCATTTCCTGGACATTTTTAACCTGCTTCTTACGTCCATTGCGCTGTCATTAGGTTTCATAGAAGTCGGTGGTTATGATGGATTATGGTCCAAGTACGAAGATGCAGTCGGTAAACCATGGCATGGCTCAGGGAATGMCACTAATGGTAGCAGCGTTGCCTACAATACGTCCAATGGTACCGAGGCTTGTTACAAGATGACTCCTTACTGGGGTAACATGTTTAGACCACTAGATGACCCTGACTACCCCTGGTTGGGATTATGGACGACACTTCCTATTATGGGTGTCTGGTATTGGTGTACAGACCAGGTATTATTATTTCCAGCGATTATTATTTKAATTTGCACATGTTTATGACGCTGAARAAGGTTCCTTTTTTGCACTTCTGTCCAAATAGCTGCGGTTMTCATGAATCACATGAAAGTATTTTTCTTTCAGGTGATTGTRCAACGTGTCCTCGGCGCTAAGAATAATTTACATGCCAAAGCAGGCTCCATATTTGCAGGTCTGCTCAAGATTTTACCGCTGTTTATCATGGTGATGCCTGGTATGATCAGTAGAGTGCTGTWCTCTGATTCCATTGCATGTGCTGACAGTGAGAGCTGTTTACATTACTGTGACAATAAATGGGGCTGTACAAACAACGCTTACCCTAAGTACGTACGACGTTGAAAAGTRTCTCATATACTTTACTTACAATACTCTAGTCTTTYTAAGCAAGTACCTGACCATGGCTATTTTATCTGTGTCCCAGGCTTGTGTTGAATATCCTCCCCACGGGTCTTGTRGGRCTGATGATGGCTGTGATGATGGCWGCTCTTATGTCGTCCTTATCYTCAGCATTCAACAGCAGTGCTACTATATTTACTGTTGATGTATGGATTCTATTCAGACCCAAGGTACATGCACTTTTTGGTTTAGTTAGCTACAGCTTTAGATGTGGTTATTTAATGGTGATGACGTAGGTTTCCATCATGGTCTCTTCGTCCCACTKTTAGCGCAATAGATAAAKGATTCTCACGTTAAATCTTCTAACATTACCGGTAACTCATTTCAGGCTACWGAGRGGGAGAAAGTGATTGTAGGTCGAGTAGTCGTTYTATTGCTTGTTGGTGTCAGTTTATGCTGGCTACCCATCATACAAGGTAAGCWTTGTCGTTCATCATCGATTTCCCAATTTTTGGTAAATTTCAGTCCCATGTCTTCCAATATCAACAACACTTCTGTTATAGAGCTTTTCCCTYTCATGATTTGGGTTTCCTGCGTMMATCARCGTTRGATTAGTTCCCATTTTRCCACGCGCGATGAGCCCAGAGTAAAATACAAAGAAGAGGCTAATTTCTGTGTTTTTRTAGGAGCGCATGGCAGCCAATTYTTCGTCTATATTCAAACCATTCAATCATACCTCGCTCCACCTATCACGATGACCTTTGGGTTGGGWATCTTGTGGCCGAGTTTAACGGAGGCTGGTGCCCTGTGTGGATTGATAGTCGGTCTAATGATGGGTCTTCTTAAGTTCATATTTGGTAATGTATATCCTCCACCTGGGTGTGGCAATCTGGACGACAGACCAGCATTCGTGAAGTTGCACTTCATGTGGTATGGTAAGTCTTGGTTACAAACGCGACATTTCTGATTAATGCGCCAACTCCGACAGCTCTTGACAGACCAGTGTTTCGGGACTGAAGCGACTTATGAGGCAATGTCACAATACAAGATTACAACTTGTGACAACATATACACCCTTTTAATAAGTCCCGAGGTATTGTGTTTTCCGCACTTGACGTCAAATTTATTCTTTTGAAATTTTTACAATACAAAAGGAATTCAAAAGAATAAATTTGACGTCAAGTGCGGAGAACACAATAACTCAGGACTTATTAAAAGGGTGTATAACTGTATTTGTAACTTAGATCCGTCATTGTTTGATGTCTTCATAGGGTTGATCATATTTGGAGTTGTTGGTATCGTGGAAGTATTGGTCAGTATGTTCACAACTAAAGTACCTCGTGAAGAGCTTGGTGGGCTAACATGGCCAACCATTAACGAACGGCCCATCTCACATGGAGCAATAGGTGAGGCAGGATCGGAAACCTCGTCAGGGGGYAACAAGTACGAGCTCTCTCACGTGACACAGGGAAAGAATGAAAACGTTACGAATGGAGTCGAGATAGGTAAGTCGAGTACTTAAACCTCTCTTTTAAGGACGTATAACTGTCCWACCGAGTTTGTCCGTAATACAAMGYTGTCCGTAATAAAGAGGTMTCTGTAAWCATAGAGATGKCAGTAYCTGTGACTGTATAGAATTWTTATTGTATCTCAACAGGACGAGATAATCCGACCGTTCAGCTAGACGACGTCGAAACTCGACCGAAATTCGTMGGACACATCGAAGGTCAGAACCTTAAGACAGTGGAGTATCTTGACGTGGTGCCATTCGCTGAAGAGACCCCATTACAGAAGAATGCATTGCGMGCTTTCAGCTTGACCACCTTAGCTACCCTTGTGTTTCTATGGGTCTTCTACAGATAACGCTTTAGAACTGGACTCCGGGCGACACTCATTGACAAAACCACCCATTATCACCCCACCCTATCCATCCAAATAGTTACGGAATGACATTAGCTTACAGCTATCATAAACTAGTCGCATGACAAAAGCAGATGGGTTTTAGAGACGAATACTGATATGCGTATTCATAATAACGTAGCCAAAGGGCTGAATTATAAATATAATTGATAAATAGAAAAGGAATGACTGATGGAAAGATATAGAAGACGGTTGAATTCGGGTATTCCATGATCTTTTGGCATTAAAATGTATGATACTAGTGTGAATCATTTTGTATTATGTCAGTAAACTGTCTTTGTATGAGTATGTAGACCTGCATGATGAGTTGGAAGGACAGCTTTTGAAGGACGACGACTCAGTTCAAGTAACCTGGGAAGTAGGTCCGCAAATCGYTCCGCTAATTAATTGGAACGACTTCATTGGACCGTGAGTGAGTGATATATTATGATGGTCGCAGTAAAATATGAACAACATAAGCGATTGGGAATCGAACCCATGACCTTTGCAATGTCGGTGCAATTCTCTCCTAACTGAGCTATGAAACGACTGTTGTTGGCGAGCGGTCTGTTCATTGGGTCAATCTATCCATCTTTAGGATATAAGTGTTATACATATGTCCTGATTGCTAACTGGAACGATGGGGCGTTGATGGTTAGGTCATTTACGTCAGTGCGCGCCTGGCCTTGGCCTTGTAATAATCTACTTGACAATCACTTATGTTGTAGCAAGTTTTCAAGAAGATAAAGTCCAAAGTTCTATATGTTTACGTCAATCGAGTGTTACTGAACAATAGAAAGAAACACAGTGTTGATAGAATTAGAGATAACATAGTTCCATTGACATGTATGACGTCCACAATCGGCATGAGATCGAAGACGAACATGTTACCGATACTATCATAAATCGTTGTATTGAAAGATATGCGGGTATCTTTTTACATCTTGTTGTATTGCCGTAACTTACTTATGTACAAAAGCATTTCTCTCTTGAAGCAGTCTCAACACTAACACAGGTAGCCCGCTGTTATCGGATAACTTATCACTACAATCAATATATAATGATTTGAATAGCCTGTGTAGGTGATTGGCCCTCCCCAATACCAAGATAATGGATGTTAAACTGATAAATGCCCAAGAACGGGGGACTACTGGATGGACGGACTACTGAAAGGACAGACTACTGGATGGACGGACTACTGAAAGGACGGATAACGGAATACACTTTGTATATTCTGATGAGGCGGAATTTCGCAAAATATCACAAAGATTTCAAAATAATTCATTTATTTAGTTTTTGTCTGGGAAGCTGCTTTCTTAGCTTTTACCATTTCAACTAATTCCTGTTAAAAACAAAGGAAACAGTCAAAGGAGAGAGAAAGAGAACTAAGTAAAAGGATATGAAAAAATACCTTGTATCTTTTCATACAACTCTTCTTTGTTCTATCGGGAATACATTCAGCGATCCTGTCCCAACGTTCTGGTGTATTAGCCGGYTATTTACGAAGAGCTTCTTCTAATAACTAGACATTAATCAAAATAATTTAGGTGTATGGAGATCAACGACCAAGCAACGCGGTGTACAATAATAGAAGCAGGCGCGTAGCGTCCTTTACGCATATACGCACGTGCGTACTAGTGGCAAGGAAATATTAAATTTTGTGGGATTTGATGGCTTTTGTTTGCTCTCGATGCCCCTCAAAACGCTGGAAATCGCATTTCCAAGAGATATTATTTCAAAATTTCCTGAGTGAGCACTCRTAGACTTAATACTCTCGCCTTCGGCGGTCGTTAGTCCTGCAACCTAAAATATCCCCTTGATGTGTCACGGTTCCTGACGTGTGCGTACTAGCCTAAGAGTCCACGCTACGCGCCTGAAAAGGGAAGCTAAAATAGAGTTTCAAATGAAAAGTCCCATCCCCTCTTGTCTCCTCATCCATTAATGAGTGAAGTAGCAATAAACTGTACTGTGTTTACCTTTTGTTCGTTTGATGACCACGGCTTTTCTGCGTCCGCTTTAGCATCGGCTGAAGCACATCAGGAAAAACAAATGTCATGAAGAGAAATCGAATATATTCAGCTAAAACCATGACACTAGTGGCGCTATCAAGAAATATCACGAACGCCCACAACTTTCGCCGACATTTACTTGCATTTCGTTTTCTTTTTCTTCCTTTCTATTTCTCCCTTTCCCTTCATTTCTTTTCCCATTCGTTTCAATGCATTGTTACAATCAGTCACCAGTCTTCTCACCGTTGTATCTGACCGTAGGAACTGATTCACCAGAGGAAGGTGTGGTCGAGTGCGCTGTTTCAAACTTGGAGAAAGCATTTTTGTTGCATTCATCTTTGAGAGAGGTATCTATGAGCAAGATAATAAGGTAAGATATATCAGGAAGACACAGTGAACGCAAATCAAGCTAAAACACTACACTGTGTCACAATGTTTAAATTACTAAATGCCATTAAGTGTTCTCACCAGATTTCTGCAAACTTTTMACTTTCTTGATAACATGCTTTGGTTCTCGTGGCTTTCCTGTCTTGCAGTGGTCATTGACGTAGTCAGCAATAACTCTCCATCTAAAGAAATGACAATTATCAACACGGTGCGATAGAAAACAAGTAGAAAAAGGACGCAAAAGATGTAGTGTAGAGTAAAAAGAAAATATTGGGGAAGTGAGCAAGAGCAGGAAGAAACAGAATACTTCTTTAAAATGGTGATATACCTGGATACAGTGCCAGCAGGGAACAAGTTAACAGCTTTCACAAGTAGCTGTGTCTGTTCTAAAGTCCACTGATTGTCTTTCTCTTCTCTTTCTTCACTTTCTTTCTTACTGCGAGCGGCTGCAGCCTTCTGATTTTCCTGTTCTTGTTTACGACGGTCTTTCATWGCTTCAATCTGTTCAAAACAAACTCCTTTGATTTGTATTTATTATAAAGCAATTGGTTCTTGTTGCAAGTAGTGTTGTCTAGACATATTGAGTCAATTATTCATCTTTGTAKGCATTCTCAGAAGAAACAATTTTCCTACATGGCAGAGCCAACTGAACTAATGAATATTATTACCTGTTCTTGATAGATGGCTTGAACTTGGTCTTTAGTTCCGCCTTTTTCAATGTCTTCTCGAAACGTCTGCAAACTATAAACATAATTTCTTGGATAAACTGTCTCAGTAGATTTAGTTAGTCCTAAACAAAGCAACAAGCAACAAAACTCATCACATTCTAGAGATGCTGCAGTCTGCTTTGAGCCAGTGATGATAGTTACCTTTCTAGGGAAAGAGACTCCAGCAAAATGTCTAAATTATTCATTTCTTCGAGTCTTGCCGTTTCATCTTCACAAAAATAGTTAAAATTCTGCACGTAGAAAAAAGAAATTATGTCAAATAAAGCTGCAAATTGTGTTTCTCTAGATTTTATAGCCAGCATTTTCACCTACTTTACACACAGTCCGTATTGTTTTTCTTTCTTTTTTCATTGCTGTCTTTAGTTTTTCCTTCTCCTTTTTCYCTAATGCAGCCTTTTCCTTGGCTTCTTGTTCTTCTTTCTCCTTRACTAAACGTTCTTCTTCCTTTTGCTGTTGTAGTTTCTGTGAAAGCACATCTCATTTTAACTGATATACAGCAAAAACCCATCTTGAAAGTAATAATGTGGATACAATATTTTCTTATAAGACACCACAAGGCCACACTCATACTTGTGGAACTCTCTCTCATTTCGGGTTTCCTGTGTTTCATGTATCTTTACCTTTAACTTTTCTTCAGCTGCAGCCTTTGCAGCYTCTTCTTTTGCTTTTTTCTCCGCTAGTTTACGCTCTTTTTCCTCATCTTTAAATCTTTTGATTCTGGGGTCACTTGCATAGGTGTTATCTTCAATGAAATAAAAAACTTTAATACCAGCTACAACTGTGATGCAATGTATATACAAACATATCAAACAATTGCCTAACATTCACGCAGGCTACCTGTGTTTTTT